GGTCACGCTGCTCAAGGTATTAAAAGGCTCGAGATCCCCATACAGTGTCATTACATGACCTGAGATCTGATTACAGGGAGGTCACTGTGCCCAAAGTCCCTTTCCTTCTTCTCCATCTTCGTGACTTGTCCTCTTTCCTCGTCTTTGCTTGACATTCCTGACATTTCCTTCTTGTCCACTTGTGCTTGGAGCAGCCTGAAACAGAGATAACACACACGAGTGTAAGCTTTCGTGAGTAAAAACCTCACTTCTTCGGATGCATCCGAAGAAGTGAGGTTTTTACCCACGAAAGCTTATGCCCAAATAAATCTGTTAGTCTTTAAGGTGCCACCAGACTCCTTGTTGTTTTTGTAGATACAGACTAACACGGTTACCCCCTGATACTTGACACACGAGTGTGTAAATCAGACGCACTTATGAACTCCACGTCCCAAATTCGAACTGAGTGTAAACTACGGATCCGATGTGGTTTTCTGGGTCTGCAGACACACTGCATATTCAGCTCCTAGATGTGGTCCTCAGACACTTCCATAAGGACTCTCCCCTCCTCCTCAGCCCCACTGGGTGAGAAAAGGACCAGACCAATCTGACTCCAGAGCCAGAATTCCCAGGTTTCCCCTTGACAACTATTACACCAGGCAGTCTCCATACAAAATGAAGAGGAACTGGATGACGAAGGGCAGTATGGAATTAATTGACAAGTATTCCAAAATCTATGTCAGCGGGTATACTGCCGGGATTGACTTAATCCCAAACTGACACAGGACCCTCCCGTTCTGAGCTTACCTGCACCGTGAGCAGGATGTTGGGTCTCCAAGAGCACAGTACGTGAGGAAGAAAGCAGGAGACTTGGCTGCAGAATTCCCGGCAAGTTGGTAGCACAGTGTGAAGGGCCAGGACTCTGGACACAGTTTCATGGAGGCACCATAAATAGTGTCTGATGAGACCTGTACCCTGTTTACAGGGTGCTCATTCAGACCAGTTGGCTCACTTGGCCTAGTGCCAAGAGACCAGAGGGCCAAGACCAGATTCCCTGATTACAGGGCGGTCACTCACCTCACACTGTGAAGAAAGCACAGGGCCTCGGAGACCAAACCCTAGTTACAGGGAGGTCAAGCTGCCCATGTTACTGAAATGGTTCTAATCCCCCAGATTTCAAAAGAGAGATGCAACCTGTACCCTGATTAGAGGGTGGTCACTGGGATTAGCCAAATAGCAGAGACCATAACCAGAATTACAGGAAGGTCAAGCTCCTCAAAGTATCAAAGGGCACAATATGTCCGATTCTATGGATACTTGTGACATGCACCCTGATTACAGGGTTGTCATGCTGACTAGTGGGCCAGAGCATGGCGTAATGCCAAACGAGCAAGTGGGCAAAGACCTGGACCCTAGTTACAAGGCGGTCACATTGCTCACGTTACCGAAGAGCTCAATTCACTCGAAAGCCAGGGGGAGGTGACTTGCACCCTGGTTACAGGGCAGTCACTCTGACTAGCCAGCTAACGGAGCATAATGTCAAAAGGACAATACAGCACAGACCTGAACCCTGATTACAGGGTGGTCACGCTGCACAAGGTATTAAAAGGCTCGAGATCCCATACAGTGTCATTACATGACCTGAGATCTGATTACAGGGAGGTCACTGTGCGCAAAGTCCCTTTCCTTCTTCTCCATCTTCGTGACTTGTCCTCTTTCCTCGTCTTTGCTTGACATTCCTGACATTTCCTTCTTGTCCACTTGTGCTTGGAGCTGCCTTAAACAGAGAGAGCACACAGGAGTGTGTAAATCAGATGCACTTATGACAACTCCACGTCCCAAATTCAAACTGAGTGTAAACTAC